ATTTTATAGGGTATAAAGGCCAAAAATTGTTTATTTTCTTTTCGTGAGGAAAATAAATATATTTGGGCCTTTATACTCTATAAAAAAAAAATGTTTGTAAACCATTAAGTCTCTTACATTTTTTGAGTGACTAAACTTGTCAATTTTGAGTGACTAAGCTTGTCAATTTTGAGTGACTAAGCTTGTCAATTTTGAGTGACTAAGCTTGTCAATTTTGAGTGACTAAGCTTGTCAATTTTGAGTGACTAAGCTTGTCAATTGTGTCAACCTAAATCAAAACAAAAGTTTTATTCAGTGTGTTAATTTAAAACATTTGTTTACGATTGAAGAAAGTTTCATTTTTTAAATTAACATTACTATATTTCAAGGGGTTATTTAGGTTATATAAATAAACGTTATAAATTGGAATAAAAAGTAATAAACTTTTAAGGCATTCTTTCATTTTAAGTTGAAATTTGTGCTATTATAATTTTTTATATAACTTTTATAAAGAATATATATATATTAAATTAAATAAAATCTATTTTTATAGATTTAAATTTTTGATAAAAAATATATAACAATCATTGTTACTATTTAGTAGGTTATAATTTACTATTAAGGATTTATAAAATAAAGTTTTTGTTTAACTTTTTAACTAAACTTGTTTGAAGATTTCATTTTGTTTTTATAACTTTCAAGATTTCATTTTGTTCTTATAACTACGACAGTTTTTATGCTATGTTGACGTGATCAAAAAAATAATTGGTGTAATATTTATCGGATTGTCTTATTAAAGTCAATAAGATTTACATTTTCAAAATTAAACCAATGAGAACTTGGCTACTTTTGGCTACTTTATTATATATTTCTGGCTACCGCATATCGCAAAATTTCAGGCTAGCCTGTCCTTCATGCATATATTAAATAGTTAATTGCTTTGAACTTACATTAGTATAAATTCTCAAAGTAAAATTCATCTGGATATATAAGAAAATCGAAATGAAAAATCTATTTTTTTTCTCTTCTTGTGCCAGTCTGTAAACTCAAAGTCTGCAATTTTTATATTCTGTAAGGTGTTTTATCTTGAGAAGGAAATGTTTTCATATGGTTTTTTCATATTACTTGTTCCTCTTGATAAGCTCTTTCGTATAACATATTTTTTAAGTTATTGAATTTTTTTGTATATTTATATTTAAATTAAATTCAAAAAAGTAATTAATTGCTTTACCTCTATATATTTTATTAAAGAAAAGATCCACGTAAGTACTTTTTTACTTTTTAACTATTGTGAAAAAAAATACAAAGTTTTTTACTAGTTATAGAAAATATAACACCAATATACCCTTAACAATAAACTACGGAAACTTTTTCATAGTTGTTTCTAAAAATTAGATTCAGAAATGCATATGGGTTTTACAAGAGTCATTCAATTTGACTAGTAGAAGTTTATTATTTAACTAAAAATCTTATTTATTTTATATATTGAGTTTTGGAGCTAACCATCATAATCCTAAATGTTTATACAAATTATGAAAATAACATGATATCTATAGATAAAATTTTATGAACACAGTAATAAAATGTTTACATATATGTAAACATTTTATTACTGTGTTCATAAAATTTTTAGCATGGAATTTTGATAACTTGTCTTGAATACATAAACCACCCGTTTATGATTTTAGACAGGAATGTCTACTAGTTTGTAATCAGGCAGCAACTTACAAAGATAATTTGGATGTAGCGATCAAAACACCAAACAAAATGACATCAGTATAAAATTTTCTAAATTGTCTCCACCAAAGACTTTGCTTTATAAAGCTCTTCCTTATTTTAGAACGAACGAAAGGCAAGAAAAGGTTATATATACAAATTGCTGTCATAACTCAATCAACCATAATGAACATAGTTATGCCAAACAATTTACATATGATCTACAATTTACATATGTAAGTCAATTTACAATTGACTTAAATATGTAAATTAATCTCATTGTTAAATGCAACGTTAAAGGATACTTTACTTGGTCAAATTCTTTTATTTCAAGAAGAAGCAGAGATTTTCGAAAGAATTTTACAATATAATGGAATGTTTTGGTTTATGGTAAGTACACTTGGTTGCAATGAAAAAAGAAAATTACCCTTTTATGCGTTTAGGTTGGCCAATTTTCACTTAATTTGGCCTTTTTTCATTTTAATTTAGCAATTTTCACTATAATTTGTAAAGTGAAAATAGCTAAATTAAAATGAAAAAATGCCGAAATAAAGTAAAAGTAGTCGTAGAAGGTTAAGTTGGCCAATTTTCACTTTAGTTTGGCATTTTTTCATTATAATTTTCACTATAATTTGTAAAGTAAAAATTACCATATTAAAATGAAAGAATGCTAAACTAAAGTAAAAATTGTCCAACTTAAACGCAAAAAGGTGTAATTATTTTGACATATTTTGTGATATAATTAAAGATTATATCGAAATGCAAAAATGCTCCATTTAAAAATCAAAAAAGAATCACATTAAAGAATCACATTAAATCACATAAAATTTTGTTATCAACAGAAAAATAATGTTGATTGCACTTTTTATGCAGTTGCAAACCTTTATTACCAATACAAAGGGGTTGATGCCTAAAGTATTTTTTAGTTAAAAATCAGACGAGAAAGCATTTTTTTTTTAATTATGTCAATAAAATGAAGGTTTCTAATTTTCCAATGCAAATAAAACAGTACAACCCTTGTTTCAAAAAAGCAGTATTGATTCCAGTTTTTTGACATTGTAAAATGTCTATGGTCAAGTTACCCTAACAAAAAGAAAGATTATCGTAAGGTAAAATGCAATAAATGCGCAAGTTAGTATCATAGTAAAAGTAAAAATGTTTCTGAATTTTTTTTTAAACACTCTTTTTTTATAAATATTCTTTTTTTTTTATAAATATTCTTTTTTTTATAAATATTCTTTTTTTTTTATAAATATTCTTTTTTTAAATTTCATATTTTTTATTGAGCTCTTTAGCAATAAAATTTTGAAACAAAATAAATGCTAAGTTTATGACCCAATAAATTAAAAAAAACAACAGTTTAATAATGTTTTCAAACGTGAGTTTTTAATCTTTTTTGTTGATGTTGTTCCATATTCTTATAGGATTTATTTTACATGAGGTAGTCTAAGGTTATCTTTTTTTAAATGATATTTTTTTTATTTTGCTTTTCTTAAATGCTTTACGGAGTACTTCCTTGAATTTTCCGAAATTTTATTCAAATTTTTTTTTGTGTGGTTATTTTTTTGTCTAGGAGAAAACACTTCAAAGACATGAAGATTTTATTGCTTCTACCTACTTAGTTAATGCTTAAAACGGTTTTCTACATCATATGTAATAATGTAATTTTGATTTTTTGAGTACATGCCAATAATCTCAAATTATTCTGCATGATGATATTTTGGATTATTGACATGAATATTTGAAAATTTCAGTCATCAATTTTGACAAAGGTTCTGCATAAAAGAAATGGTTAATAAACTTTTCTTGGATATTTATTTTAACAATTTTTAATAATGATGATAAAATGGTGAGAAACTTATTTACATTTTATGTTATTACAAAACGGCTCGGGCTATGCATGTTTTTGACTCGGATGATTGAGTAATGTTTTTATATATGCATTTGCATTATTTAATGTAACTATTTGATAAAAATCATTATTTAAAAAGTAAACTCTGGCCCTAAGCCTCTATTTTTTCACTGGTCTGAGTGTTCATTCAACCACAACTCTTGATTTTTTCCCCCAGATTTAGTTCATAAGTCTCTTTACATTTCTGAGCTCCTGGATTCCGAAAACCAAGAGAAAATAATTATTATTTCAAACGAGTTTTTATTTAGTATCAAATAATTAAAATAATAAAGGTAATAAAATAATAAAATAAAAATAATAAATAATAAATATACTTATAAGTATATTGTGATGAAGTTTTTGAACTAAGTTAATAATAAATTGTTTTATATATAAGATATATATAAGATATGTAACAGGAATTTCAGATGTCTGCAAAAAGCTTAGGAAATAATAAAGGAAATTTGTACTTTGTATTTTTTATTAGGGAGAAATTAGTTAAAATGGTTCTGCAACAAACTTACGCAACTTTTGTCAGTTGCATATCATACACATAATATAAATTCGCCATATTCGCAATCAAAAATGTTTTTCAAAAAGAATTCAGATCTATTTTACTCCATACGGAACAATTTAGAGATCAATTTATTATTTTTCTTCCCTTTTTTTTTCTTTTAATTTTTAAGGTGTCTGAAGATGCCATTACGGTCTTATCAAAGAGCACCACGGAGGAGCATTAAAAGAAGTTTACGCCTCCATCCTTACCAATGTTATTACACTTGCCCAGAGGTGGCATTGAACCAGTTTCTGAGGTAAGCGCGCGAACCTTCCATTTATTTACAATACGATTAAAAAAAGCTGCGCTGCAGCTTTTTTTTATCACATTGTAAATAAATTGTGTTTAATGAGCGGGTTTAACGTCATCAAAAAAAAAATAAAAATAAAAATAAATAAAATAAAATTAAAAATAAAAAATGAAACTGAAAAAAAAAAAGGAAAAGTGTTCAAAAAAAATTTTAATTTAACTTTCTTGCACGTTTTCATAGCTTTGCGGTTTTCAGGAATCCTTTCAGATTGTTATGGACGTTTTTTATATTTTATTTGCAGCGTATTTGTAAAGTGTAATAACGTATTTGTAGTTCATATCTTTTTTATAAATTGTAATTATATTTAAATATAATATAGTTTTTCTAATTATGTCTTATGGACCACTTTATCAGTACAAACCACCCCAAAAAAAAACAGCGATGTGGAAGTGTGTGATGTAGAATTCCTTTTTTCAATACTTTTTTACTTAAGGATGAAGCAAAAGTTGTTAAGTAAAAAAAGAAAAAAAAAGAAAAGGCGTTTCATACCATTGTATTTTACACTAAAAAGCACAACATTAATAAATTTGATATTAACTGTATTTATATTTCACAATAATAGTAATTTACTTTAGTTTTACTTAATTTTGAATTTAAATATTTATGACATTACATTATCTAGTGCATCGTCATTTTTTTAAATATTTTAATAAACTTTTTAAGGTAACACGGGGATACACATTGATAGTAATTCCCATTACAATCTTTATCGGTGGTACATTTTTTAATACCGCCAGTTTTATTTTTGTTTGTATAACACCACCAAGTTTTATCAATCTAAAATAGATTAAATGATAAACGTTTAATATAAAAATTAAATATTTGATAAAATATTTAATATAAACTAAATATTGCCTTCATTCTGAAATACTGTTCCGATTTGCATTCAGAGCAAAGAATTATTAGAAATAAATTATGTTGGAATTTTTTTTTATTTTATACAATAAAATATATTTTATAAATATATTTTATTAATTTATTTTATTATATAAAATAGTATATACTTTATAGATTAAAAAAAAAAATTAACAGCATGAATTATTTCAATAATTCTTTACTATAAATGCAGGTCGGAACAGTATTTCGGAACGCTTACTTTAAATGCAGGTCGGAACAGTATTTCGGAACGCTTACTACTCAAAAAAACTGTAAGTTTAATAATATATTCAACTATATTAAATTTTATAAATGTTTATTAAAAATTAAAAATTTTATAAAAAATTAACAAAAGATGCATTTATGTATTGATCCTCCAAACTTTTCAGTACCCAGGAAGTAAAAATATTAAAGTCATTTTTTTATCTCGTCAATAATCATAATTATTGACTTTATATATTGTTTCAAATATTGCTAAAATGAAAAATATTGCTACATGTAAAATGTATGCGCTAAAATTTGCAAACTTCTTTATCTTTATATTTAAAAATAAATTTGTGAAAAGATGCCAAACTGCTATTCACAAATATACTATTAAATGCCGAATACCAGTAAAAAAAACCAAAAAACAATACATAGTGAAGAATTGTGGGTTGTTTTGATCGTTGGTAAATTCCTCAAACTAATTTCTTATTCAGAGGGTTAAGACAAATGATTGGTACAAGTGCATCAAAAATTTGGGAAACTTTTATAAAAAAATTATTTCAATTATGATTTTTCTTTAAAGTAAAATAACTTGTTAGAATATTGAAAAATTAAAATAGTCTAATATAGAAAATATAAGTTTTGATTTAAATGAGTTTGGAAAACACAAGACTTTTTTCAGAAAAGACGATACATATCTATTCTTGATGTGTGAATATTGACAATTTTCAGAACCAGTTTAACTATGAGGCAAAACAAACCTATACTTAAAAAAAAGGTAAGGTTATCAGTAAAGCTGTAAGGTTATCAGTAAAGCTGTAGAGACTTTCTGGTTGAATATTTGTTATCAAGCTGAAGTGTTGAGAAAACAAAACATGAAAATGACAACTACGCTTCTACATTTAACTACTAATTTAAACCATAGACACCTTAGCAGTGCCATAAAGACCTTAGCAGTGCCATAAAGACCTTAGCAGTACAATTTAGACCTTAGCAGTACAATAGAATAGTTTTTAAAATCATATTTTTGGAATTCGATTAAAAATTGTCAATCTTTTTCATTTGTGAATTTCTTTTGTCCATGCTTAATCGGCAGGTCCAAATATTGCTACCTCACAAACTTGCAAAATGTGAGATGTATAAAGCGACAACGTGACAAAAAATATTCTAAAATCGATGCAACACTCAAAAAGTTTGAAGCTCTTATGAGACGCGTGGTTGTCCATTGTGATAACGATAGGCTTTTGGACAAATTTGATTCTTTATTCAGCATTTTAATGTAATCAAAAAAAGATACTTTTGTCTGCTATCCATTTTCATTGAATGAAAAATAAAATTTTTTCTTTGGCATCTAAAATATATTTGATATAAATAAACAAATCACTAATTAAACACATTAACAAATTTAAACTTACCGCAACAGGCATACCAACATTATAAAAATTACAATAAGATGATTAAAAAATGATTGCAATGTCAATTTTTGGCTGTTTACACAAGAAGCATGAGTCATCGTTAATGAATCCTTTGATTTAGCTGTTTCTATCTGGTATACAATTTGTGCACCTTTTTCCGAAATAATTTTTTTTCGGCATTACATTTAATAAATTAAGTATTAAGTAATGAAACTTGACACACAATTAGGGGTCTTCCATAAAGTACGTAGGCAGGTATGGGGTAGGTATGAGCTTTCTAACTATACTTTACTTAGTTCTTCTTAAAACTCATTTACTCTTGGTCCGTCGAAGCGTTTATGATGCTCTCTAAAAAGTTGAGCTTGTCTTTGCAGGCCTTGGTATGTGGCTTCTAAATTGCAATTAGCCGAGGGAGGATAAACCACTATACAACATAAACTATTTTACATAAGTCTAGTATGACTATACATTATTTTTATTTCACTACATATTCTGACTATAAATTTTATCGATTGTTATACATACATACATACATACATATATATATATATATATATATATATATATATATATATATATATATATATATATATATATATATATATATATATATATATATATATATATATATATATATATATATATATATATATATATATATATATATATATATATATATATATATATATATATATATATATATATATATATATATATATATATATATATATATATATATATATATATATATAAGTAAAAAGAGTTGGAAATTTAATTCCCGTTTAAATATCTATCACATATAAGATATAAGACTGTCACATATAAAATATAAGGCTTTCAAATAGAGCAACATCACTTTATTCCGTCCAACACTTTAATTTATCCAAAATTTAATGGCTCAATATATAATTGAGCCATTAAATTTTTGATAAATGAAAGTGTTGGACGAAATATAGTGATGTTGCTCTATTTGAAAGCCTTATATTTTATATGTGACAGTCTTATATTTTATATGTGACAGTTTTATATTTTATATGTGATAGATATTTAAACGTGAATTAAACTTTCAACTCTTTTTACTTATATGAATAGCCAAAATTTAATGGCTACTATAATCAAGGAGGTATAATAGCTTATCTGGAGGGAGAACGGAGCCGAAAATGGATCTAAATCGCGTCACAGTCTTTGAGTATAATTATTCCAGGACCAAGTCAAAATCGCACTTTTGCAAAAAAGGAAAAATTTTGAAATGCAAAAATCACTATTAAGTTTAAGTAATTGTTTCTTGCGTACCTAAATTATAGGTATAAATATCAAAGCTTAAGACAATCTCTACTACCTATTTGAACCTTATTTTTTGCTTGCCTGTTCAGCTTTAGGTTAGTTAAGTTCTTTAAGACTGTTCTTTCCAGAAACTTATTAAACCCATCCAGGATTTTACTTTGTATTGGAGTATTTTAGCTGGATTTAAAAGCAAATTGGTTTATTCTAAATATAGAGATATAAAATACATGGCAATAATACTACCAATTCTTATCTAGATATTTATCAATTCAATTCTAATCGAGAAATTTATTCTTATTCGTTCAAAAAGCAAAACAAAAAAATAACAACAAACTTAATATTGTTTACAAACTTTTTAAACTTCCATTTTTTATATGCAATGCTTCCATTGCTTATGACGTTTTGAAACAATATCATTGGATAGCTTTTGACAAAAGTGGAATGTGATTGTTTTCCTTTAAACTATGATAATTTCGCGGTGTTTAATGGAAAATTATGTTACTACTAAAGGTGAGTTTCCACTCATCCGTTTTTTCACGGGAACGGGATAGGAAAGGGAAATAATCACGTGAGCTCAAGACTGTTTTTGAGAAATGACGTACTTTAACTTCAGCTATTATAACTCTTTGCGATAATTGGATATTATTAATTTTAGCACAAAATTTCAATTGTTGACATTACAAAACACATAAATTAAAGCAGCCGTGGCGCAGTGGTAGCGCATTTGCTTCAGAAACGTAAGATCCGTGGTTCAAACCCCACCTCTGGACAAGTTTTGCAACATCGGTTAGGAAGGAGACATGAACTTCCTATTAAATGCTCTTCCGCGGTGCTCTGTGATAAGACTGTAAGGACTTCTTGGGGCACCTTAATCAACTTAAAAAAAAAAAAAAAAAATAATAATACTCTTTATACTAAAATGAGCCCAATATCTGTTGAAATAAAAATTTAAATAATAAAGTTTTAACGTTCTCCAGTAAGATCATTACATATATATATATATATATATATATATATATATATATATATATATATATATATATATATATATATATATATATATATATATATATATATATATATATATATATATATATATATATATATATATATATATATATCAAATTAAATTTTAAAATTAAAATTTAGCCGACTGAACTGTGTCAAATACCCGACTTGCCGACTAAGTTCGTAAAAATAGCGACTTTAACTTGAAAATCACTTTTTTTTTTTTAATGGGGGGAGGGAAATGTTACAACCCCTCCCCCCCACACACACACATAAAAATATCAAAACGTTTTTAAAACACGTTTCAAAAAATGCTAAGTCAGAGGCCAATCAGATGAGCGATAAGTGACGTTATGTTTTTTTAACAACCAATGAAAGGTCTGTTTATACTTATTATTAGCGCACCTTTTCTTGGCGCATCAAATTATTTAAAATTTATCACCTAAACAAAATGGCTGAAATTAGATAAAGTTTTATAAATGTTGCAGAAAAAGCAAACAACCATCATACTAAGGGAAAGAAAACAAAAAGAAAGATAGCATTTATTATTTATTTCTAAAATATATATCTAAATTATATCTTTTTATCAACGCAAGCATATATTTTTTTATATCTTCTCTTAAGTGTCTATTACACGGAAGGGGACTTTCATTAATTTTTGAAAACTTTTCCCATCATCCAAACTTATTAAAACCCCTAACCCCCTATCCTCACCCCGATTATCAAAAATAACGGTGGAGGTGTACTTGTTTCACCTGCGATTAAAACAATGATTTATTTAACAGTCGTTTAATTGATTTAATAGTTTATTTCTCTATCATAGAAAAAGAAGACCAAGAAGATGAGAAAGAATCTATACGCAATTGTCTTGGAGAAAATGCTGCTTGTAATCATGTTTAACTTATTTATTGTACAGCATCTTATTTGGTCAAAATTTTTGATAAAAAAAATAAAACTTTTATAATAGTGTTTTGTTTGTTCCCAAATCAAAGCTTTTTCTTTCAAATTATTTTAATGATTTTTTGAAGCAAAACAAATATTGTATGAATTCAATAAAGTTTTGTTTTGTATTTTTTATAATTGAAATTAAAAGAAGAAATACCTTTTTACTATTAATATTTATTTTGTCTTTTTTGTAATTTTTTTACTAGATCTTTGCTCAATGAATATGTAACTTCTTTTTGCAAATTGTTATAAAAATATTAATAACAATACGAGATTTATATTTGATTCCCCACTTTTGGTGCTTTTCATTAGTAAAATTGTCATTGCTACAACAAATCTATAAAATTTGTTTTGCAAATTTTTAATTGAAAAAGAATGACTGCAATTTTTTATTTGAATAAGAGAAATAACATAAAATACTAAACAGAAGACAAATAAAGTTAGACAGGTTGAATTGGATATAAAGGTTCTTCTCTGTAAAAAGTAACATTTATTAATCATAAATTTAACATCAAAATCTTTTTGTTAATTTTTACCATTTTTCCTTGCTTTAGTATATAAATCTGTGCTATTTTTAAAAAGCTGACACTAGTAATTATGTAGACAACTAAGCTAAATCTTGCATAATATTTTTTAATGATTATCAAAATTCTGTTAAAATATTTTTTGTGCAAAATCTTTTTACTAATGCACGTTTCTAATTATACTTACTTTTTTTATTAATTCATGTTTTTAGTTATACTTACTAAAACCTAGCTCCAGTTTTAGTTCTAATTTACTTTGTAAATTAGAACTAAAAACAACTGCAAAGCCTTCTTCAAAAAAAATCATTCATAAGAGATACAGTTATAAGAGCACAAGAAGTTTTTTTGGTTAATGTAAAGTATTTATCAAATTTTATTTTGATTAAATTTCAGTACTATTTGCAATTTCTTTATAAAGTGTGGGTTTGTTATCACCTTTTAAAGCAACGTTGCTGAGTTTGATTGGATAAATTAAGTTTCTGCTTAGAATTAAGTATGATAAATAACTTATATATTAATGATTAAAAGTGTGTTGCATTATTTTTTTCAGGAAAATAACTCTAAATTACAGCTGCAGTTGTTTCGTCAAATATTATCAATGTTGACAACTTGTTTGTTGTTTCCAAATATGTGACTTGATAATTAATTTTACTTGCCTGTTTAATAATTAATCTTTTAATAAACTTTAAAAAATATATTCCCTGCAATGCAACTAGCAGTAACTTTACATAGTCTCTGGAAAAATCAAATGAAAAAGACTAATTTTTTTTTTTTTGCGTTTAATAAGTTTTTTCTTATATTTTTTATAAAATGAAGTATATCAAATAATAAGTATGTTTTATACACTCCTTTTTTAAACTGAATGATAAATTAAAAGTTTTCCATCACCAATATACGCTTTATGAAACTATAAAAATGCATTAACATTGGTAGAATGGTTATCTGTGACAACAGCCCTTATCTTAAATTCAGATTGGTGCATTGAGTTTATACACTTATCAATTTCTTTTTTCAAACATAAACTTGTTATGTAAACTTTTGGAGAGGATTTTAAAATAAAAACAAATTTATAAAGATTATTTTCTCAATCTTCATCAAATTGTTTACAACTTTGATATTGAGCTGCTTTTTGGAAGTACATCTTAACCACAAGAAGCAGTATTTCAGTACTATGAGAAAAATTTTTGTCAATAATATTTCTAATATAATATAGTTTTTTAATTTGTAATTTTCACCACTGCGAAAACATTTTAATAAAGAAATATGAAATTTACTAGGCAATGAAAAATTAGGAATTTTATTAACAGATATTGACTCCAAAACAGTTGGAATGCATGATATTTCTTGGCCTGTTTTGTTGCATTTTAATTGCTGTATGTATGAAACATGCAACATAGTAGAGTATTTCAAAACATTGTTTTGCAGTGTAATTATTTTCAAAGAAAAATCAATTTTTGTATATCTAATAACTGCAATTATTATAAATACAAAATTACAAACCTTTAAAATTATTTCCAATGGAGAGTTACGGGTAGTTTTTAGCAACATGTAAGTTTTTTTTTAGTAGCATGTTAATATGTGTTGATATAGCTATCTGAAAGCCTATTTCAGTATTCTGTGTAATTGGAATAAACTGAAGCAGGCAATCAGTTAACAAAAATTCCAGCACAAAATAATGTAAGTACTCAAATAAAATCTAACTATTATTAAACCATTTTAATAAAATAAGAATAAACCAATTATAGTGCAAACAAGACTCATAACCATAGCGAAAATTAAGTTTTTATACTTGAGCCGTAAAAAAACTGGCCTCCTAATTTTTTACGGAAAATGCAACAAATCAGGCCGTGTAATTTAAGTAGCCCATGCTCGGACTTAGCGCGTTTTGCAAATAGGCTTCTCATATATACTTAAAGATAAACGAAAAAAGAAAAAATATATAAAAATAAAAAATCAAGTAAAATAAAATATTCTGTTATAAATTCAAGATGCGTTATATTCATTATATATGTAGAATACAGTTGTTAATGATAAATATATAATTTTAATACACTCATGTTTAAATAGAAGGTAAAAGGGAAGTAAAAAAAAAATATAAAAAGTATATTATTAAATCTTCGATTGTAAAAATATGTTCTTTAAGCTTTTAAAAGAAAAGTAGCCGCTTTAACAACTAAAATCTTCAGCATAATTTTTAAAAATTCCATAAAAATGGTTCGCGATAATCAATACAAAATTTAAAAAAATATGTTAAACACAAAGTATGGAATGAAATGTAGGATGAATTGGTTTTACAAAACATAAAACACATTATTCCATCGTATTCATAAAAAAGAAAATATTCCATTGAAACTTCCAAATCTATTTATTGATAAAAATATAACAAAAATGGAAATGTCTCTAAAATTTTTAGGCGTAATTCTCGATGAAAATATTATGTGGAGAGAACATATAAGTGTAATTGAGAATAAAATTTCTAAAAATATTGGAATATTGAATAAAGCTAAACAGTTCTTAAACCGATCTTGTCTTAAATACGTATACTGTTCATTTATACACTGTTACCTAAACTATGCTAACATTGCTTGGTGCAGCACCAATGTTACAAAACTAAGTAAACTTCTCTGCAAACAAAAACATGCCATTAGGATTATTACAAATGAAAATCGCTTCTCTCATACAAAAATACTTTTTAGCAAACTTAATATTCTAAATGTTTTTAAATTAAATCTCTATCATATTCTCATATTTATGTTTAAACTTAACAAACATATATACAGCACAAGATTTTCAAATAATAACTATACTCAATCCAAAACCAATTATTCTGCCACAATCACAAACCGAGGTCCTAAATTATGGAATACACTTATATATATATATATATATATATATATATATATATATATATATATATATATATATATATATATATATATATATACATATATATATATATATATATATATATATATATATATATATATATATATATATATATTTATAACTGAAAAAAAAAATCAACTAAAAGAAAAAAATCATATTAAAGATCGGTTGTCTAAGCAATTAAAAAAAGAACGAGACAATCAAAAACCACATTGATTGTCAGAAAATAAGTTATCAAATTTAAAATGGGATGTTAAAAATTTTTTGTTCAAAAACTCAAAGAACTTGCTAATAATAAAGAGAAGAACGGACAAAAGTTGAAAAAGATCGCACAATAGTTGGTGAGGTCTCACTGATCTAAAGAGATTTTTACATAGAATATTCGACTTACCTTTGTTAAATTCTAAAAGTCTCTTTATCCTAACTGTCAGGATACGAGATTTAGAATCTTGCATCTAACATAAACAGAGTTGCAGTTAAGCGTCAACAGCATCTTTTTACATTGATTTCTTGCAATGATAAAAAAATAATCTCAAGAGAGTTATTCTTTTGAAAATGAAAATGTAGAAATGTAAAGGTGTTTATGTAAGTTTTTAAAAATTTTATATGAAAGTGACAAGAGCTTCACGCACAGTCAGTGCAATTAAGGAAACAGGAATTATTCGTTTCATCAAGTCAAATATTGACATATCAAAATTAAAAATAAAAAAAGCATCTAAACGTCCAAAACCAGGGCTAGCAACACAGTTATCAATTCATCAACATTCACAACTAAAATATTTATTACTTAAGTCGGATATTATAAAAGAGCATTTCTATTAAAATTGGTTTAGAATTTGCAATGAAAATATTTTTCTAATAAATTAATGTATCTGACAAACATATCAGCAAAACAAAAAGAAACAATTCAATAATCATACCTTCTTGCTATTCGGGTTTTTAATATAAGCAGCCATGAAACTGCAATAAGCATAGCATTTTGATTTGTGACAACCATATAAAATTTCATTTCCGGATGCTGAATGAACTCCGTTTAGTTCACATTTTATTTGAAGAACTGCTGCAAAGACTACAACTATATAAATCATTTTTTTTTAATTTTTTGTTGCTTTTTTAACTATAAATAAAATTCAATATATAAATAAAATTTTCAAATTTTATATTTTTCCTTTAATTTGTAAAATGTATATAATACATAAGTATATAAAAATAGAGTTCATATATATAAATATAGAGTCTCAAAGTAGATGAAATAGAGTATGCGAGCCGCAAGTGGACCATTATCTGAAATGCCACTGCTGGCATTTTAAAAGCGATCTATAGCTTGAATTTCCTACAAAATGTCAACAGAGATTAGAAAACGTTGGATCGTTGCTGCTTTTATAGAAAGGCGAATTTTAACCGAATGATTACAGAAATTACAGAACCTTTTTTTACAGAATACTGAATCCGGCAACGTAGTATCACGACCCAAAATCTGTTTGCCTAAACCTTGCGGGAATGTCAAATTAAATCCGCCAACTTTAACAATATATTATGTTCAGACGCATTTCATTTCTAATCTAAAATGTTTAATATACTCTTGAAATTAGTATTGATAATATTTATTAAAATCAATTTAAAAAAAGTCAATATATAATAATGTTGGTTTGGTTTCAATAAAACTTAAAGATTTTACAATTTATTAAGTAGTTTTCAAATATGTTTATAAATAATTTATTAATATATTTGAAGATTTTTTAATTACAATTTTCTAAGGCAATAATAACAATAAATAATAACAAAGTAGTATAAGCAAATGCAAATCTTGTATCAAGGATATAGGATATCAAGGATACTTTTGTTGTATCAAGGATACAAGCTATAATTTTGCTTATATTATTTTGTTATTATTGCTATAGAAAGTTGTAATTAATATATATACATATATATATAACTCGTATACATGTACCAAGGATACAAGCTATACTTTTGCATACCTTCATCTTGCTTTCCTGATTCATATAATTTGCAATCTTTTAAGTCATCAGTCAATCGTTATCTTGCTCTACAGATTTAGTCTTTTCTCTTCCAGTAACTTCCAACTCTTATAGTGGTTGCTTGCAGCCTTGTTGGAAGTGAAGATAGTAAAAAAAAAAAAAAAAAAATATATTATAATGTTATTATTGCTATAGAAAACTGTAATTAAAAAATATTTATAGCTTGTATCTTTGTATCAAGGATACAAGCTATATTTTTGCTTATATTTTTTTTGTTACTAGAGAGAATTGAGAGAATAAGAACTTGCTTGAGAGAAATGTATTAAGTGTATGAAAAAATCTTCAAATATATTAATAATGCCTGACACCCCTGATATATATGATGATTTATATATATATATATATATATATATATATATATATATATATATATATATATATATATATATATATATATATATATATATATATATATATATATATATGGCGCTACTCAACTCCCCCCACCCTTCCTCTTTAATTTTTTTGATCGATTATGATAGGATAAATTATGCTGATTTAGAGTTTATTTAATACAGTAAATAACTCTAATACAGTAAATAACTCTTGACGGCAGTAAAAACCAGGTCGCGTAATTAAGAAATAACTTCTTAATTATTGATTTCTAAATGTAAACAGAGTTAAAATGTTTTTAAAAAAGGTGGTAGACGGAAAATTAGCGTTTTTAATGTAATTTTTTAAACTTTAACTTCAAAATAGTATTTTCCTCAGGTTTTTGGACCTATCTTTTTATATGATTTTGAATTAGTATAATGTATTCTATCTAACTAATTCATATATATATATATATATATATATATATATATATATATATATATATATATATATATATATATATAAATATATATATATATATATATATATATATATATATATATATATATATATATATATATATATATATATATATATATATATATATATATATATATATATATATATATATAAGGACTTGGTTATTAATCAAGTATCATACTTGGTTCAACTACGATACTTGATTAACAATTCTTATTCTTCAAAGTTATCCAGATATTTTTCTTTTTTTGATATTCAGTTAAAATGTGGTTGAAACCATTATTTATAGGTTATTTCTTTAGCTAGAAAAGAGGAATTTGATACAAAAGATGCTGTAAAAAGAATGAGTGCTTTTTTAACCAAACTCTGTTGTCGTCTTAGTTGAACTCGTGGTTGGCTATTATAAAATATAACCGTGAATTGTATTTAAAAAGAATTGCATTGTTGACGTGTTTTTTAAAGTAAGTTTTTTTAATTTGTTCATTTATATGCACTTTATTTTAGTCATTAGTTTTGTAGGTTTTTGCACCCAAATCAAATTACTAAATTAAAATATATTTAACCTATAACTATACCTAAAGTATGTTGACCCTATTTAATTTCATTTTAAATATATTGACACTCTTAAAATATTTTTCTTTTATTGTGTCATTTGTGATCAATCTTTTATTTAAAAGTTTGAAATTTTACATTAAGGAGCAATACATAGGAATCCGACGACGAGTACCGTCAGTGAATACAAGTTTCAAAAAGAAGTTTTACGTTTTTGCGTGGAGCACTAAATCAAAATATTAAACGTCAAGTTAGAATGATATGTTGAAAAAAGAAACAGCATGTGAAAACCTGACGACGACCCACAACAACTTTTTTTTTATTATTTATTTTTTTTATTTTTTTTATTTAAATGCAGCCTATATGATAGCATATATCTAAAACTATCTGAGTAATATTTTGTAATTTTCTTCTAATGTGGTTGCCTGACTCATAAAAATGTTGTTGGCGTTTCTTATAATGCCGGTTTGTCGACGGAGCAAAGTGTGCGCAGAATGTTTTTTTGAAAAAAATTCATTACTCCGTTAATTTTCTATAAAACCTGAAAAACCTGAAATATATATATATATATATATATATATATATATATATATATATATATATATATATATATATATATATATATATATATATATAACCCATATAGCATACATACTAGGTTATTGGCATCACTTTTGAAACCCATATAGTATACGTACTAGGTTATTGGCATCACTTTTGGAAAAATTGCAGTAGCGGCAAAAAGCTCCAGAATCACCAACCAATAAATTTTCCATTTTGCCATTAGCTATACTTATATTTGTTTCTACAAATATTTGTAGAGTTTTATTTTTAGACAATTGACTCAAAGTTGGTTTAAAGTTCTTCTATACAATCTCCCTAGTTTCTTTAATTTCAATAGAGTAACAGGCCTGCCAAAAATGACGGAGTATAAAATTAGATTACTTGGTTTTTGAATCTTTAATTTTAAAGGGATAATTTTAAAGTAACAAATACAACCTGTTACCTTTAAGTCTGCATCCTGAGGACCAAAAAACTGATAGCAATTGTCGTAATTTTTAGAACCATCAAGTCCAAATTTAGCCACTATATGTACAGAATGTACATGTAGAAAGTAAACTTGGAATTTTTTTTTGAAAAAACCCGAATATCTACATCATTTCTTTTTGACAACTTTAGTTTTGGAAGAAGCTGTATGTATAGTATGCATTTTTTTGAAATTTTGTTATATGCAGGTGCTGTTTCAAAAATGGACCAATTCAGTATAAAATCAACGATATTTTTATCACATTTTTTGATAAACATTTTCCACTAATTGGACAATATTTTTTTATTACAATATCAATTTTTAGTCGTATGTAATTTATTAAAGGGCTGAAAATGCTTATCAACCAAAATATGAAACACTTTTCATATGTTAGTTGAAACATATTTTAGAATCAAATTTTAGTTTTAGAGTCAAACTTTGAAAATCACTATTTTTAAGGACATCTTCAAAAAATCGTTTAGATGAATAGAATACATTTTCATTAGATTCTGCCGGTCTGATGACGGGGCATCAGTGGCTTGTGGACGATGAACCCTCGTAGAACCGGTGAGCAAAACGTAGCGGATGCGGAGCGAAACGCAACCGATATGCAAAAAAAGACAGGTCAGCGGACTATGCGTCACGAAGAGAAAATAGGCATTTACTTACTTTTCTGAAATTTTTTTCAACTTTAATAAAAAATGCTTATTTCAAATTTTTTTAAATTTGTCTTTTTAAGTGCAAGATTTTCAGTGGTGGAAAAACCCGGATTTTCACTAAATCTTTATATTATATATAAGACCATTTCCAAGTTTCTCAAACTTTTTTTGCATATTATCAAATAAATCATACATATTGTAAATAAAAACCAAGAAAAAAAGAAAAAGAAAATGTTTGAATCATTGTTTTTGTGCACCTGTAAAGATTGATTAATTAGACCATGATACTACAGAGATTACTACTTTTCTGCAATAAATTGACTTTTTATATGTTAAATAGTTTTGTGGCTAACTCTGTAATAACATGGTATAAAATTATTTCTACAGTTGTTGGTTTTATTTAACAGTTTTTGTTATGTATAAAAAAACAAAACTGGAAGCGGAGCGGTACATTCGTTCCTAGTTTTTAATTGTTACTTTAGTCAGAGCAAAATTTCTCTGATAATTTCCTCTAAGGCATATTTTTACTAGTGAAAATGTATTCGCATGTGCTATATATTCACAGCCCATGTTTTTATCATTATACTGGTTTCGCAGTGAGTTTTAACATTTTCAAAAATCTGGTTTTAAACATAAAAATTTAGAAAAAAAAAAGTTTCTTTCTAAATATAAACATTTTTTGGTTAAAAAATCAACAATGCAAGTATAATTTTTATTATATATTAAGTTGCTATTATTATAAAAATTATTAACATAAAATTTTAATTTCTATATATATATATATATATATATATATGTATATATATATATATATATATATATATATATATATATATATATATATATATATATAATATATATATATATATATATATATATATATATATATATATATATATATATATATATATATATGTATATATATATATATATATATACATATTTATATATATTGTGAAGTTTCATACATTGGTTTTCAATATTAGGCTGAACCATACCGTCCTTTTGTTCGGGCGACTTAAAGATGTGATCTTGGAGTTGTTGCTAAGGGTCCGTCTTTTGAGGTCGCACTTGTTTTCGTAGGAGTAGAAGGTTGTAGAGAAAAACATCAGTTTTATCCATAAGAAGAGCTGCTCGTTCAAATTTATTCTGTTGCATATCATCAAGATTAGGATTATTCTTAATTATACCAAATCTCTTTGCAGTTGCTACGATGTTGGCAGCGGATGCCCAATTGTTCAATATTGTTCCGAGGATATTCATAAATCTTTCTCTACTCTCTACTTATTCTCCGGAAAGAGGAAAAGAGTCCATCTCGCGTGTTATTATAATATCGATGGAGCTGTTGATTTGGTGCTTGGTCTCTAGTAGTTGATTTTGTGCTTGACTTCAGTAATATCAGGTGGAGACACAAATAAATTGATTAGCATTTTACGCAAAAAAGTAGGAAATTTAAAGTCAAACCGCGACAAATAAATATCTGTTTGAAGCACGACTGCTCGCTTTATACCATTCGGTGAGATGTTCATCAAGTTTCTTATACGCAGCCAATAATGAACAGTTATCTTGCGAACTAATCTCTGTCGTGGAGATGATCATAATTTTGATGTTAATGACAGCTTTTTGTGGTGCCATCTGTCTCGTTATGGCTTTGCCAAAAAATATTACCTGACACAATGAAACATCTCCTAAAAATATAAATATTGTATTTCACTTTAAAACAATATAACTATAAAAGTCATCACTTACCTTGTGAAAAGTTGTTTAGTTGGCTCACCTGATAATGAAAAATGAGTTTATAGTATATGCTCTCTCTGTTTTTATCTTTTTTTACATGTCTCTCCTTTGCCAGCATAAACTAATCCAGTGGCAGTACCACCTACATCGTAGTGACAAACTGTGGTGTTTCAACATGATTGAAAACTCTTTCTGCTACAATGTCATCAACACATACACCATTTTTTGTTTTTTTGTAGTACTACATTATACTACAAACAATCAGTTCGTCAAGGTGTCTGGGATAAAAAAAGTTGTAAAATTAATAATAAAATCAAGTTACATAAATTATCAACGTTCAAAACATATAAAATTATTCAAGAATAAAAACAAAGTTGTAGAACAGTGGAGAACGAAATTGAAAATAGATTTTTTTATATTCAGGCTAAACTAAAAAAACAATATTCGATAAAAAAATGTGTACCTAGATGATCTGTAGCCATCTCCCTAGTACAATTTAGGGCTCTGTTCATTTTAACTAGGCCTTGCCTTTTAATGACAGTATCATCATGTTCAGCGTGCCATCTTCCCCAAAATGATTTACCGAGTCTAAACAATTTGGATAATAAGGTTCAGTATTTTACATCTATTTAATATCTACTGTACCTGTTGGGATGTTGATAAAATAGTTTAAAGAAAAAACTTACTTTCCTTCCATTTTTTAGGGCTGTTTTTGCACTTGGTTTGAACAAAAATGGAAAAGGTGGAAGAAAGTTTTATAAACTTTCTTTCACTTTTTTCGTTTTTGTTCAAATGATCTCTGATTATCAGCACATCCAAAGTAATTTCAGAAATTTCTTTCTTAGAGAGTCCCTAGTGGGCTCTGTTTTTGTTTTTGATAAAACAAGCTACTTATTCATAATCTGGGTGTAACACTCTCAAATGTTCCTTTTTTACATTCTTTGCCAACTAATCTTCTATCTATTGTACCACGATCCTTAATTAAAGGAACCTTTCCTGTTTTTAATCTTGCCTATCCTCGTTTTTTTTCTTTCTGTGTACCAATCTACTGCCTCTCATATTTTATTTTCTTTAGGTCTTATGTCCTTTCTGTAAACTGTTTCTTCAGTCCGACCTTCTGGCTTAGTCTTTGTTTTACTTCTTTTTCTACCAGCAGAAATCTTAAAATTAAACTGCGGTTTTCCCATACTTTTATTTTATTTAAACACTAAAAATAAAGAATATACATACTTGATTAGAAATTATGAGAACAAAATGAACAGAAAGGTACCAGTTGTAACTATTTTACCATTATTTGGTTAAAGAAGATCATTATAAACACTCTCTCCATTCTTAGCTATTTTAATTGTCTCGTGGAGGCATATTTTATCTTATGTAGTATTTAAGGAGAAAATCGTGTAGTTTTTAAGGGACTTTATTAACTAAAATGCTATTTTTTGTTTGCTCAGTTAGCAAGCCTCCTTATATATCATACTACACTGATTTCTGATACAATAACAAGAAAATTTAGAGTTTTTAGAAATTTTTCATCCATAATTTTTCATTATTTTTTTATCCATATAAATACAACTATGTTCCTTTTAGTTTTTAAGGGGAATCTTTGAAAAAATCAGATAATTCACTCTGCTAATTCTCACCAAATATGGCGAAACAGGGATAATAACTTCCAGGGAAGAAAAACCTTATAATAGGTATTTTCAAATCACAAAATAAAAGTTCATATATTTGACATGAAAGGAATGTACTCTATTATGAAAACTTGCGTAATTTTTAAGAGAATTCTACTTGTATCGTTTGTTTTATTTTTACGCTTGATTATGATGCTATTTCACTACATATTTTCCGTACTTAAGTACGTTTTGTCTAAAAACTATCAGTTTTTTTAGAACAATACATGTAATAACATTGGATCCAATTAACTTCTAAAGTTTAGAACCCTAATTTTTTAAGTCTTTTTAGGCTCTATGCAACTAT